AAATGTTCTACTGAAAAATCTTTTAGTCTCCTTGTAGTTCCTTGATTCCATAATTTTTTAATTATTACATAATTGTTAATTGAATACATTGTGTTTGGGATTGAAGATTCAGCACTGAACTAATTTTGCTCTATTTTCCTCTTACTAAACTAATATTGCTTACATTATTTCCTCTGCATTTATTCACTATTATAGCCAAGTATTTTTCAGTAGAACATTTATTGTTTCTTTCATTTATGGAGCATTCATTTAAGCTGCTTCTTATATGTTTCCAAAAATGCCCACAGTTTTTTAAAAGTTTGGTTTATGTTCCAACTCAAGAAACACACATATACATATAATTGAAGCAAAAGCACCTCAGAACAGTACTTATCCTTCTTACACACATTTTTTTCCTAGTACTTTTTACTCCTGTTGTGTGCCTTTTGGGGGGGAGATGTATGCAAACACCTACTCATCCTTGATAGAGGACCACCAAAAGAATGATTCCACCAGTGTCAGCTTGGTAGGCCAATGAGTTTATGGGTTACTTACAGGAGTATGGGTGAGGGGTTACTTATAGGAACATGGATGACTCTAAGGCAGCTGCAGCATGGGAAAGTTCCCTGCCCCCAGCATGACTGAGAACTCATGAAGGTTGCATCCCTACCAGAGCTGCAAGACTTGCAGGTAGCTGAACAGGTCTCTCCTCCCCAGCAACTGTTTTCTGATTGTATAACCTTGGGGAGGGATCTGGTGAACTTGTAAGTTTCAGCTTTCTGGGGCTTATAAATTTTGTTTACTTCCTGAGTCTCATGAACCATCCTTCCTGTTTCTAGGAAGGATGTTTCAGTTAAGAGGAATTGCTGTACAATAACTACATGTAAAAAGTCCATTTCCAAATTTATTTCTTCCATTACAGGTTACATATCCTTCTACCTGAAACTTAATAATACATACATATGCATTTCAAAAATGAACTTGTAATTTATGGACTTGTCTTTCCTGTACTCCTTTTATGTTAATTAAATTTCTTCAAGTTGGAGTTAAGGAGTTTCATGTGATATCAAAATTTTACTGTTTCCTTGTATTGGCTATCTATTGCTATAATAAAATGTCTGCGATAATTAATATAACAACAAAGGATTACAGTTTTGGAAGTTCCATGCAGGCAGTTGACATACAATCAAGAGCAGGGCAAGCCACATTTATGTCTGCATGGGTGAGAGATCGAGGTCAAATGACTCCCAGTGGTGGGAAACCAGAATTTTGGTTTTTTCTGTTTTTTTTTTTTTTCTTTTTATTTTATTTTATTTTATTTTATTTCATTTCATTTCATTTCATTTCATTTCTGAGCATATTGCCTGCATGTATCTGAGTGCACTCATGTCATGCAATGCCCACAGAGGTCAGAAGAGGATGTTAGATTCCCCTGGTACTGGAGTTACAGACAGTTGTTAGCTGCCTTGTGGGTGCTGGGAACTGAACCTGGGTCCTCTGTAAGAGCAGCCAGTGCTCTTAACTGCTGAGCCATCTTTCCAGCCTGTCTTCTGTTTATTTTTATGAGCTTTGCTTAAAGTGTTCATCTGTGAAGCTTGCTTAGATGATATTTTTAGAGATACTACCGCAGGGGTCTCATACTGGTTTAAAGACAGCTAAGTTTAGTCAGTATTGAAATTTCTGTGTTGTGTGTCAGGTGTGCTTTCTTTCTATCCTATATTTGGGGTCTTTATATTCCTTTAAGCATCTTGCACTATTATCTTCATCCATCTACCTCTGCACTGTTCTCTGCCTAGATCTCTAGACTAAATAGCTCAATCCTTTTACTACATTTGATGTGCACCTGGGCAAGTCACTTCATTTAAGTAACTTTACTTTCTCATTGAAATAAGGTAGTTGAACTCCAAAGGAGTTTTAAAAATATCCTGGCCTTCACACTTTTATCTCTTAATTGGAATTTAAACACCCATAATTACATAGTTTACTTCCTTCACAGGGTTAAGGAGGCCCTTGACAGCTGCTTTTTTGGGTTTAAGTCCTGGAAGATAGATGCATTGACCCAAAGGCATGGTGGCACACATCTTTAATCCCAGAACTTGGGAGGCAGAGGCAGGTGGATCTTTGTGAGTTTGAGGCCAGCCTGGTCTACATAGTGAGTTCCAGGGCAGCTGGGGCTACAGAGAGAACCTGTCTCAAAAAGACAAAAGAAAAAAATTTAATTTTGTTTGCTCTCACAGAGATCCACATCTCTATGCCTTAAAGGTACTGCTGAGTAGACCTCCGTTGTGTAAATGTACCATATTTTTATTATCTACCGGTCAGTTAGCTATTGTGAAAAGAGCAGCAACAAACATGGATGTACAAGTATCTCTGCAATGCGATGATTTCTTTGGGTATATGCCAGGGACTGGTATATACAACTGAGTCAAATGGTAGGTTCATTTTTACTTTTTTAGGGTTTCTCCGCACTGCTTTCCATAGAGGTTGTACAAGTTTACAATCCCACCAGCAGTGGATGTGTGTTCCGCTTTCCCCACATCCTCTTTATCATTTGGTTTCATTTGTTCTCTTTATCTTAGCTAGTCTGACTAGGGTAAGATGAAATCTTAAAGTGGTTTTAATTTGCATTTCCATAATTACTAATGATGTTGAACACCTTTTAAGATGCTTCTTAGTCATCTTTATTTCTTCTTTTGAGAATTATCTGTTCAGCTCCTTAGCCCATCTTTAAATTAAGTTACTTCCTTTCTTAAGTCTTTGTTTTTTGAGTTCTTTGTATATACTGGATGTTACACCTCTGTCAGATGTGTCGCTGGTGGGTTTTCTCTTCACTTCA